CTAAACTTATGTCAGATGAAGTTTTATTTTCCTTCTGTGTTTTTCTATGACTAAACAAGTATTGGTGCAGAGGACTGGTGCTACAAATATATATGTCTAACAGTAATCTGTAGACATTAACCTAAGTCAGAAAATGGGTTGAACTTTGGAAACTAGAAATCTCAGGATTGGTGGTGGTGGTGTTGATGGGGTGGTGGAGCAGGTTGGAGGGATTGAAGTTTGTGGGGATGGGAGCTAGATATGTTAAAATGCCACATATTATTTATTTAACACTTATTATATGCCTGGATAAAGATATGCTATAATCCGAAAGTACTGGGATTATAGGCATGAACCACTGTGCCTAGCCTATTTAGTTCTTAATGTCTTTTTTATTTTTATTTTTTATTTTTGAGTTGGAGTCTCACTCTGTCGCCCAGACTGGAGTGCAGTGGCTGCTCCCGGCCACTGCAGCCTCGACCCACTGGGCTCCGGCAATCCTTCTGCCTCAGCCTTCCAAGTAGCTGGAACTACAGGCGCGCTACCACGCCTGTCTAATTTTTTTGATTTATTGTAGAGACAAGGTCTCACCAAGTTGCCCAGGCTGTTCTTGAACCGTGGGCTCAGGCAATCCTCTTGCCTCTACCTCCCAAAGTGCTGGGATTACAGGCGTGAGCCACCATGCCTGGCTAGTTTACTGCTTTCTACATGATTTTAATTGTTCTGTTGTGAAATTCTTGCTTTGCTTTTATTTCATACTTTCTGTATTTTCTTGTCACTGTGAAAATAGTTAATAATTTTTGTTAATACATTCTTGCATTTCTTGGATGAATTTAATGTCTCTTCTTTTTTGTTTGTATTCTTTTTTATTGTAAGACTTTTGTTTTTTTCTTATCTTGTCGTTATTTGGGTCATCATCAGAGGCCAGGAAGGTCCCAAGGCCTGGGTTACTTTTTGTCAATACTGTTTTCCCCAGCAGCATTAACTGGCCTATAGGAGATGTTCAGTACAGAATGCCAGGTGAATAAATTTAAGAGAATGCTTTGACTCTCCTATTCTAGTTCCTAATTAAGTGACAGAATATATGTCCAGAACATTGGATAAGCCCCAAAAGTTTCTTAAAGTTAATTGGTATTGAAATGTAGTTGAGCAGGGTATCATAGGAGATTGGTTGGTTTGTGATCATTTGGAGTTAAAGCCCACATAGATTGTCTTAGTATTCTTTCCAAATCTTAGTCTGCCAGTTTTATCCAGTATTGTGATTATTTTCAAGTCATGTTTCAGCTGAGCAACTAAGGGGAGAAAATTCCTACTGCCAGGGCTCATAAATTCTTGGATGATGTGATTAATACCTTGTAATCAATAAATTAATACCTTGTTATCAATAAATACTTGGTATTGGAGATTATTTCTAGCCTTATTAGAAATTAAAATGTACTTGATTTCCATAATTGATTTCAGCTGTGATTATTGATTTTTCTTCATTTATAACTTATCCTCTATACTTCCATCCTCCTAATATAGCCATGTCATACTTTTAAAAAGATGTGTATTTTTTTCATAATTATGGCTGTGTGAATACTATTGGCTAAGTCTATAGCTATGATTATGTTTTGTTTCTTATAGAACTTTTGATTTTTCCAAACTTCATCAGTGATCTCATTTTTTAAATTTACTTACTTTTCTTTTAACCTAAGGTTTAATTTCCCATATCTTCTAGTGCCTTTGTAAAATCTCTGTCGGTATGATATTCTGTACTTTAAAACCTAGAGGTTAATTTGTATATCTCCCTCCTCTCCCCCAAAGTAACTATCTTGGATCCCCTGTCACATTCCTGTCTGGATTTTTGCTTTTTAGACTTTCTACACATTTGTTACTGTGACTTTGCTTCATCACTGTCTAGGGAATACTCTTAGCTTTTCTCCTGTTTTGGATCACTTCTTTACTGTATTTCATGTCATCTTTCTTGGGGTTCCTCCTGATTTTCATGGAATATATATTCTCCAGTAGGTTTCTGAAAAAGGGTGCACAAGGTTAAATTTTTGGAGATATTTTGCCTCTGTAAAAGTGTCTAAATTTTACTGATGCTAATCATAATCCTGAAAGACACAGTTCCTAATATCATAATCCCGAATGTTGAAATCCTCACAGGTCAAAATCCTTAAAGATCAAAATCCCTAAATTCTAAAATCTCATACAGATAAACTCTGAAAATCACAATCTTGAAAGATTAAAATCCCAAATGTTGAAATTCTGAAAGCTGCATTCTAGGGAAGGGATTAATGTATATTTGGTTGTAGGAGAAACAGTTGTATCATTTTACTTGCACTGTGTCAGAAATTACGTGTGGTTTAGGGAGATATGTATGAGTGTTAAGTTGACAAGGGGTAGATTTGTGGATTTAATTTTAGGTGTCAACTTGACTGGATTAAAGAATACCTAGAAACCTGGTAAAGCATTATTTTGGATTTGTCTGGAAGAGTCTTTCCAGAGAAGTTTAATGTGTGAGTCTGAGTGGCTGGAACGATCTGCCCTCAGTGTTGGCGGCCACATCCAATCTGCTGGGGTCCCAGAGAGAACAAATACAGAATTGGTCTCTTCCTGAGAGCTGGGACAGACTTTTCTTCTGATGCTTTGGATATCAGAACTCTAGGCTTGTTGGCCTTTGGACACCAAAACTTAACACCAGCGGCCTCCCAGGTCCTTGGCTTTTGGTCTCGGACTCAGAGCTTGTTTGGCTTCCCTAGTTCTGAGGCCTTTGGACTTGGACTGAGCCATGCTATCGGCATCCTAAGGTCTCCAGTTTGCAGACAGCCTGTCGTGGAACTTCTCAGCTACCATAATCACGTGAGCCAATTCCCCTAATAAATCCCCTCGTTCTATCTCTTTGGAGAACCCTGACTAATACTGATTTAATATTGGGGAAGTCACATATAATTCCTTTTTACTGTATTCCTTACAACACAATAAAAGAAATCTGTGAAATTGATCCCTTGCGAAAAGGCTATGATAAATTAAGTGTACCAGGCTACTTAATGGTGAAAGAGAAAAGCTTAAAAGTTATTATTTGGTGTTGCAAGAGCAAAAAAATCACTCAATTGCAATGGCCAAGCAATAACCAGACTTTCAAATGGACAGCATATACTTACAAAATTTGCAGACCTCAGCCACTTTTCAAATACAAGCATAGTGAATGTTCAGAGGTCATGAAAGTGAATATGCTGGTGAAAATTTAAGAATTCTCCCTGTAAATTATTTAGTTAGATACAACTTCTGCCCCTTCATACACAGTGTCAATTTGCTGTGCTTTGTGTTTCATCTTTGTGTTATTTCCAGTACTGGAGCTATAAATTGTGTAAGGACATTGAGAGTTCTAACTTGTCTTAAGCACTTTTTGAAAATTTGACTCCACAAAAGTGCACTATCACAATGTTGACTTTGTATGTAAGCACTGGATGTGCATATAAAATATTAAAACTTCCTCAATAAATGTGGAGATGTCCTTTTGTACATCTGCATTTGTGAAAGATAAAATTTTTCAAGACTTTGGCTCTTTGGGTAACTAAATATTGGTGGTGACTCATTGCAGTTTTTGATCAATCTTGTCAAAAGAGTTAGGTTGTCTGGTATTTTAGATAATTGCAGTTATAAGCTGAATACTCTTAATTAACCACAGTGATATGCACTTATGCATTTTGCTTTTTGATCTATTTCTTTATGAATACAGTTTGTCCGCTTATAACTGTTATACCCATGTAACTGGCATTAGTAACCTGAGTGTTTATACTTGCAAAAATGTTATTATTGCCTATTTTATTGTGTAAAGTGTCCTGTGAAGTGTTCTGTCATTTTTGTGTGTGTTTCTCAAATTAAATTTCTCTTAAAAATGTAAATAAATACCTTTTAAATAACTTTTTAAAAATTATTTTTTCCAGAATTCTATTTTCAGGATTTTGATTTTTTGATTTTTGGGATTTTAGACTTTAGGACTTTTGATCTTTCAGGATTTTAACATTCTGGATATGGTATTTGGGATTGTGTCTTTTGGGATTATGGCCCAAACCCAAATCCTACTGTCACCATTGACTATCTAGGCATAGCATTCAAAATGGAAAGATAAAATGATTTTTTTTTCTTATTTTATTTTCTTATTTTATTTTATTTTATTTTTTGAGTTGGAGTCTCACTCGGTCGCCCAGACTGGAGTGCAGTGGCCGCTCCCGGCCACCGCAGCCTCGACCTGCTGGGCTCCAGCTATCCTTCCGCCTCAGCCTCCCAAGTAACTGGAACTACAGG